ACTTGATTCTAGAGGCCAAACTGTAAATATATATATACATAATGAAATTAAAATATTCTTTTAAAACTTGAAACAATCACATGACACAAACTCTTCATTGGTTACTGCCTTATCATCCAAAGCTGAGAAACCTACCTCGATCCTGAAGAAACACTTTTACCTCCTGCAGCTTAATGATCGACTAAACTCAATTGTCCCGACGCTACTGCTGTTTCTTTTCTGAAAAACAAAACTTCCAAATCCCACTAAGTTTATGTTAAGGTCAACTTTAACCACCCCAATCCACTACCACTAGGAGGAAGTTATCCCTGCAATAAGTAACAAGCGTGGTCAAACGTACATGTTTATGCAACATACCAGTTCTTGGATAAAGCTCGTTGGTTGATTGGTTGTTAAGCAGCAAAGCTACACAATGGGCTATCCGTGCTATGTTCACCACGGGTTTCGAAACCCGGTTTTTAGCGTTATAAGCCTTCGGACTTACTGCTGAGCCACTGGGGGAGGGGCTTGTAATAAAGACAACCAGAATAATAAAAAGTCACCAATTGCACCAATAAAAACGCTGTTATCTAATCCAGTATCAGAAATGTTACTTCTTTTAGGACAAACCAGAATAATTCCTGTAGCTAAACACTTGAACATGCCCGACCACCCCCTTCACGACATTAAACTCATAGGTATAAACACAGTTTTATTTTAGGAAGAAATAGGGAAACTAAGGAAGCTTTCTGGATAGAAGCTGGGACATAAAGTACTTTCTGAATATTGATTGATTCTGTCCTTCCAACTGGTATATCTTCTGCTTTTCTGCTGTAATTATAAACCATAACTGGAATGTATCTTGCTCTCAGTGTTATAACTGTTCAAGCAAACATGGCTTGGTTTTGAGTAAGTAAATGATGTTTTAGGCGTGACTGGTGGTGCAACCTGAGGTTGTGTTCATAACTCACCACAAAATATTATTGTTGTATTAGATGGTATTGTAATGGCATCGTGAGTATACATTTATTTAGTTTACAGTTCTTGTGCATATTTTGGTCGACATTTTATGGTTTTACCACAGAGCTGCAGCTCACTTGGTATACGGGTAACACTAGCAGATATTATCTATAGAAAACCTAAATATAAAATGCTGATAAATGAACCAAGAATTGCTGTTACAACTCTAGAACTTGTTGGAGTGGTAGTTTACACGATAGCGTCTGATACATTACAAGATTGAGCAGAGTTTTAGTGGTGCCTGTATTAGCTAAAAACCCTAGTTGAAGTTATTTTACAGATACATACCAAGCCATACTTGTCCCTGTAGATGCCATACTAATGACCATGTCTGAAGTAATAGACTGTTTCCTCTTAGATCAGTGTCCAGACCTTATTCGACCACACAGCACTTATACCCTGTGTTCTCTCTTGAACATATTGATTATTTGATCTATTCTCTGATTCGGGCTTCTGTGTAGGGATAGAAAAAGGTTACATACGCTGGGGATGACCACAGATATTTTTTCTATAATTCCATGGTTCCAGATGTCTCTACATCTGCATCATAATCACAACTGATATGGCAGTTCATAATACTTACGTCATTCAGCTGCAAGTCATTCAAGCTGACTTGAGCTATTGTAGAGTGTCTGTGGATGTGAAGTAATCTTTTACGGGTTCCTGTAACATATGAAGCTCTGGAATGCCTGTCATAGTGCTGGTGAGCATTCAACTAAAGGCTTCTCCAAGTTGACTGGAGCTCCTCTGTCCTTAACATCAGAACGTAGAGGCATCTTTTACATAATGTCTCACAAGGGGGAACAAGAGATAAAAAGAAAAATTGGGGGAATTCAAGGCACAAATCAGCTACCAATTCCGAAATAGTTAGATCCTGGTCGACGTCACCAAACTTTGTTCGATTGAAGTAATCTTGGTCATTCGAGAATAAACCTAGCACACAGTCATTCAATCTTCACAAAAACTAGAGGTTCATGGATATAATATGTGGAAGGACAGGTGTATCAATTTTTTACAGGTGAAATAAAAGAGAAAACAGATGGTGTGGAGTGTAAATAAAGACGAAACACATTATTACTGAAGGAAGAGAACAAAACTGGCAGACCATGCTAATGGAGAACTACCACAGAATGCTGAAGCTAAAATGTAAAACAAATAACGGAATTAAGTTGCATTTGAATGGAGAAACAAAGTAATAGGTGATTGTAATGAAAAGGATAATAAAAGTAAATTTTACTGACAGTATAGTTAAGCAATACGATAATAGCAGGCACTAGCTAAACAGTGAGATAACTTCATAACACGTACTGGCTCTCTCAGATCAAAAAAGATATGGCGGATCTGATGAGAACGCGCTTGAATTGTATTTACGTCACAATTCCTTCTATAGATGACAAATCATATATCAGAATGCGGAGATTCTACCATGTAAGAGTAGCAAGAATCACTTCAGGCTGATATTAGCACGTAACTTCTACCAGACTTAGACTTTTCCAAATTAGAACTTGGAAAAGATCTAATCATTTGTAGATATGAAATATATATATATATATACTATAGGAGAGTAAGTTATGTAATATTTGTATACTAGAATAGTATACCTGAATACTAGAAGTTCTAACTTTACACAATTCTAGAGAAAACATTTCCGTCTTGTTGAACTTTCCAGGTTTAGAAAAGAAACAATAAGAAAAAACATCAAATGTTCCCCAGGGTGTTTCCCAATAACACATATCAATAAGTTCATTATATGTTTCCGAATCTCTTTTTATTAATCAGAATTGTATATTTGTTTATAACTGTAACGACAAAATAAATCGGGTTTCGATACCCGCGGTGGGCAGAGCACAGCTAGCCCATTATGTAGTTTTGTGCGTTACATCAAACAAACAAACAAAAATATATAGAATAAGCGAAACACTATTTTTAATGTTGTTTATTTAAAAAAAAAGTTTCACATGTATTTTTTTTTCCCCAGGAAGTTCTACATTCATCACCGGAAAATGGACAATGAAGAAACAGAAGATTATATGTGAATACATACAGTAGCATTTAGGGTCAGCATTGAACAACGTTTTTGTCAGTGTGTTTTACAAAAATTATTTATCTTTTTTTATGTTTAATATTATTACATCTAACTATGTTAAACAATTTTAAGAACTATGATTTCATTCAACAAATACCATACTCGAAGGTACGGTAGAATTTGAATTTCAGTTCGTTCGTTGCTAATATGTGAATAAATTTCAATCAATGAAAACTAAAATATATCCAAGTAAACATGCATAAATATAGTAAAGTACCGGTCTTTTATAGTCAAACAAACACAATTCATTAAATATTTTTCACATTGTTTTCACTCCTAATCTTAGTTTTATTTAGCCGAACCAGCTTTAATATAAAATGTGAAAGTACTGCTAGATGTACAAGCGCAGGATTCCCGAAAGTGTTCTGTTTCAAGAGTAAATATAACCAAAATTAAGAGTAA